TCATACATGTCCTGCTAACATACTTGTAACATACTTCTCTGCCACTCCTGACTTCCTCATACAAAACCACAATTCCTCCCTTGGCACTTTGTCATATGCCTTTTCTAAATCTACAAATACACATTGTAGCTCCTTCTGACCTTCTCTGTACTTCTCCATCAGCATCCTCAAGGCAAATATTGCATCTGTGGTACTCTTCCTAGGCATGAAACCATACTGGTGTTCACAAATCTTTACAACAAGACATATGTTATAAACCTTATATTATTGAAATTGTGATGCAGAGCAAATGAGTTAGTGGTTAGCACAGGCAGCACTCGTACTGCCTGTAAACTACTAGTGATGACCTTCAGGTCTGCTGTCACTAGGGTTTCTGTAAACTCCAGTAATGGTGGAGAAAATAAATTGAACTGGTAATATATCAAACATGATAACACACACACATTTTCACACCAGTGTGGGTAGGAGAAAACATCTCTGATTGATGAGAAGAAGAGGAGCAGACGTCAGGCAGAGAAGCTGAGTGGTGGTCAGAGAGGGGAAGTGTCAGATTTTATTAGTTTTACATTTTTTTGTTAGTAATTTGTTTGACAGAATTGTGATATCAATACTGAGGTACTGTATGTATGGTAACAGCCACAGGTTTGAGACTTTACATTTGCCAAACAAGGTTGACTGCTGCCTTTACGTGTTTCATGACACTGTACCATGTGAGGATGAAGCAATACCCCATTCAGAAATATATCAAAAGACAATGGAACAGTGCACTCTGATCACATAAAGTTACATTCCATTGTTTTAATAACAAAACTGATATAGGACCAGGCATTGGTCTGTTACTGACTTTACTACAAATGATGTTGGCGAGGACTTTGTGTCATATAATCTGATTAAATAAACAGTTTGGAGCACAGCAGAGCAAGTTATCATTTAATGTAGTCTTGACTGTACATCACAAGTGGTGAAATCGGGTGGAAATACAGCAGAGGGCTCCGTGAAAGTTCAAAGGTTGTCACACATCTGGGATGATTCTCAGGTTTCATTTTCTCATTTAACGCGGTTCAAAACAAAGCACCGAGGTAATTAGCCCATGATAGCTACCCATTAATCAGTGTGAATCATTGATATAGCATAATAATGACTACATCTAATTAATTAAGGCATATTTGTAATGCACATTCCATAAGGAAGTCAAGTACAGGTCAGATGAAATGCACAGTATGATGAAATTAATATTAGCGTAAATTATGACAAATATTGATTCATGGGCAAAGCACAAGGCTGAAGAAATATATAAAACATTTAATTAAATTAAAAAGCAGTCAGAGGAAAATCTAATTGATGACTTATTCAGATGGAACCCCGGGCAATGAACCAAATATGTTTGCACATGATTTATCCTGCTTTCCTCAAGGCCTGAGCATTGAGAAATATTCAGACAGACAATTGTGTCTGTACATGTTTTTATGTAAGTGTCTGTGCGGCCGCAGTGTGTGTGTGTGTGTGTGTGTGTGTATGTGAGTGTATCGACGTGTGATTCCATGTGTGTTTAGTTATTTTACAAGCTTGTATTCACCGTGGATATTAATGTCTCCACGGGTCTTTTCCGTTCTGGTTCTTTTTGTCTGTTTCACTCACTTTTATAGTCACATTGTCCTCTTAAACCCTGTCTCCTAATCAACAACTGACCAAAAAAATAAAATAAAAAATCTTCCTAAGTTACTGCACAGTGTAGGATATACTGTCAGGTCATCTGACTATTGAGAATTGTATTATTTGCTGTGGTGTTTCATAGATGTCATTTTGTTTGATTAGTTAATACATGTAACATTACCCACAGGTAACTAATTAATGGGCACGATTATAAGATATATTAATGCTAACTGTTTACTGTTAAAAGACACATACTATATAAACTACACAACAGTAGTACAGTAGTACCATGAGGTGTAACATACCCCAACATGTAAATACATGTGTAATATTGATTAGCTACATAAACGTTTTCTTTTTTAACATTTTGTAATGTTTTAAATTATTTAAATAGAGACATTTAAGTACTTGCATACACATTACATAGTACACAACTGGTTAGTTGTGCAATTTTTCTTTACTAGTTAAATATGCATGTGTGCAATACTACACAAAATGGTATTCATACATGAGTAACCCTTTAAAAATACAGGTCATTAATACAGTGTCATATAAACAGCAACAGCTAAAAATAAATGTAAATGTAGTAAAACTGGTTAGTTTTTACAACAGGCGACTTATCCAAGCTTTTACTTCAGTCCTGGAGACCTGATCTGCTTTCACATCAATGTGGCAAGAATTAGCTTGTCTGAGCACAACACTACAAGTTATGTCTGCTTGAAATAATTAAAGCTGTAAATAAACTTTTACTGCAGTGAAATGCTAATAGACCAACCAAGAAGAAGCCTCATTTTAGGTCCTGACTTAGAAATAATACTGTTGTTACAGCCTGTCACTATGAAGAGAAACTGAACCACTATTCAAGGATATTTAATTAAACCGGACAAGCTGCACTTTAAATCCTGTTCTTTCTAAAGTCATTATTATTATTATTATCTATTGTCTGTAATTTTAGTATTGTATTGTATTAATATTGTATTATACAGTATGTATGTATTTTAGACCACAGGTTCCCAATCTTGGAGACAAATGTTTTAAATTGTACTGGAAACAGAAACTTATTGCAATAATAATCAAATTAAAGATCATCCTGTATATAATGAACATATTGTGCCTTGAAGATGAGGCATTTGTAATTGGATTTCTTTTTTTAATATATGAATCACCTTCACATTTTACCCAGAAAGTAATACTGTGCTGAGTTGCTGGGAGAACTGTACTGAAATTTCCACTTTCAGTTCTCCATTTCTAATTCGGAGGATGATCCTTATTAACATTACAAAATACCTCAGAGCTCTGTCTTCATTTTTTTTTTTATCCCTACACTGTATCTAATTTGACCTTATTTCTTGTACTGGAGCTTGGGGACGTAGGAACTCCCCTCCCTTCTCTTACCCCACAAACCTCCAGGCACTGCACCTGGGTACAGCTCTCACCTTCAAACACACATGCACAGCAAAAAAAAAAAAAAAAAAAAAAAAAAAAAAAAACGAATATCCACTTATACACAGGTACAAAAGCCAGTCAAACAGAGTTTATCAGAAACAATCATTGAAAGATCCACAGTTGATATTGATTTTCTTCAGTAATATTGATTAGCCCCAAAACCCCCAACTTAGACCTGAGGACACCAGCTGTGTCAGGGCACTCACTGTCCAAAATGCTCTTTCTCCAGCATGGAAGATGAAAACCATGACGCTGTGAGCGTCTTCACTAACCCTGTCTCTCAGAGAAATTCTCCTGCCTGCAAAAGGCCAGGAAGTCCACAGGGACGCTGTTACCTTAGATGAAGGTCGCTCCGAGCCATTTCTTTTAACCTTAGTGTGTGTGTGTGTGTGTGTGTGTGTGCACTGAACATTACCAGCTTCTTGTGTGCTCACTGGATTATTGTTTCACTCAAACACACACACAGATACACACACATCATTGAAATCATTGAAGGGAATTGTTTTCCAATCTATAGCTGCAATAGTATTTTATTCTCTGAGGGGTTCGGGGGTGTTACAATTATAGTCAAAACGTGAACATTCTGCTTTTTTCTGAAACTGCACGCTGCAGGCTGAGCACAATAATATGACAGTGTAAAACTCAGCAGGCTTAGAGGAGATGAAGAGATTCTGCTGCTTGTCTGGGATCCCCAGATCTTTTTCTAATCACCACTCTGGTTACTGAGGCTAAAATCCACAGTTATCCAGTGGAAATCAATGTGCTCATTAAAGTCTTATTTGGTTTTAATATTTATGACACTGCAGTTAAAGTAGGACAATTGAAAAGATTAGATAGGCTCACAGAATGAATAACTATTATGAAAAGTTAATCACAGCAGTGTGCTCTTTCTCATATTCACAGTCCAAATGTTTGACTGGCTTTTCACATTGAAACGCCGGATCACTGAGGAAGGTTGCAGGGGAAGAGCAGTTGTTGGAGCTGATGATGAGTCCCAGTAGTCAGCTTTACTGTAGGTGAAGCATGCTGTTACAGTCTCTTTCATCAGATATTTAAAAACAAATCAGGTCAACAACTGTTTTAAAGATTAGACTCACTTTTGAGCTGCTTGAAATAAAACTTTATCCTCACTCGTCTCACCTGGTGCCCCCTCACACTCCTTCACTCTCTCTTTGATGGCTCACTGTTGTTTCTTTAGTGTTGGGGAACACTGGGTCTTATTCCCTGTGCTTTCTGTATTATGTATTCCTTGTGTTCCTCCTGCCTTTGTTCCTGCTCTGTGTTCTCCATCCTTAGTTGCTCAGTCTATTTTTGTTTTTCTTTCCCTTTCTTTTCTGAGCTTGGACTTTATTAATAAATAACCTAAACCTATTCTTGTGTCCTAAGTAGGACGGTGACTATTCAAATCTATTCATCAGCGTATGACGTGAGTGGCACATGTTGACCTTCTGTGAGAGGAGCAAAAAAGTCAACATACAAAAGTGTTTTTTTTTCTGGTGTGTCAACGCATTCTTTACCTTTAATTGGCTAAATCTCATATTTTACGCGAATATTTGAATCGATCTAAGCTGATATTTTACCGTCTTAACCGACAATAATAATCACTTCACATTGTCGAGGCGGAAGAAACATTTACACCAGGACACACCAATCCACCCGTCATTGGTAACAGGAAGGAAGGAAAAACCTGAGCGGCGACAAGAGCAGAGGACTCACGTAAAGTCTGGATGATGAAACTTGGCATACGAGCATCTCACAGGGAGCTGATGGAACAACTGCTATTGTTGTTGTCATT